TTTAGACAGTAGCTCATATGAGTAGTATTTTATTTTGGGATACTATGGTACCCAATATAGAGTAAGATTAGATCCTCCTTTTGGGGGCATAGTATTTTATATAAGGAATATAATCTTACTATGTTTTAACCACCAAAAAAAACGCTACGCATATGAGCCAGAGTCTAAAATCTTAGTATCTCCCCTTTTACCCCCTATAGTAGTCACCTAAAAAAATACTGTAGAACTTCTTTACGGAGTTTAGACCATAGCTCAGAATCCCTATACACTCCTTCATGATCCCAGTTTCCATTTCATTTTCGATGTTCTTTTCCATTTGATTCTCCATTATTGGGGGGTAATATAACCGTAAACCCTAAACCTAAACCCTAAACCCTAACCCCTATATATGCGCATACAGGGTTTAAGGCTGGCAGAAGGCTTTCTACATGACAGCTCGGGTTTGGGGATGCAGGGCCTGGGTTCGGAGTTTATAGGCGTATAGGTTGGGAGTTTAATGCTTCTTGGTCTACAGGGACGGACGTCTAGAGTCTATACCATTTCTTTGTTTAAGCTCTTGAAAGGCCTGAAGTCGGACACTTCCGAGTTGAGGCTTAGGGCAAGGAAATGCTAAGGATGTAGCTCCGCTCCCTGTATAAACCCTATAATGCCCCTATATATCCCTTCATAATAGTAGTCTCCATTTTTTCCATTCTCCCTATATAACCCTATAATACCCTTATATAGGGTCTCAGTCGTTTTGGTCTTGTGTTTGCTACTAGTTGCGTTTCATGGCTCGGAACTTAATCAGACGAATTTCTCGAATTCGAGTATCCTGCTGAGCGAATAGAAGATCCTGGACTCCAAAAGTAGGTACAATCATACGAAGTCGCTTTTGTTTCAGCGTACCTCCAAGTAGTTGATGCAGGTGCAACAGTCACAGCATCACTTGGTGAGGCCTGCCTGGTATCATGCTCCACAATGACAGTGATTATTGTAAGCTATTAAGAAGCTGCTCGGGCTTATCAGGGCTTAATAGGGCTGATTGGGCCTGATCAGTTTGGGGCTGCATGTTCGGGGGGGGGCGGGGGGGATGGGGGCGGGCGATCGTAGTCCTATGATGATAGGGAAGCAGGTTGTTTACAAAAGTGTTCTGCCTAGTTACCCTGAAGTTACCCTGAAAGTCCTTCAATTCCTACCTAAAACCCTCCAATGTAGTACTTTCTCTTCTTGATGAGACCCGATAAGGTCCCAAACTAGAAAAAACATACCGAACCCAAAGAGGAATTGACTGCGAGGGCCAGGTATTTATAGTCCCCCTTCAGTAGATAGAATATGGGGTATTATAGGGATCTTATTATAATACACCCAAAGCCAGAACCTAAGGGGGACTATATCCATGCTCTCCCAGATGTGGAAGATCCTTGGGGGTGGTGAACAGGTTGACACGGTTTAGGGGTTCGAGTTCAGGATTTATAGGGTGAAGGGTCTACGGTTCGGTTGTAGGGTTTAGGGTTCAGGATTTAGGGTTTAGGGTGTAGGCGAGGGTTTAGGGTTCATGAAGCATCCCCGGATTTTGTCCGGAATCAGTATTATATCCGCTGCCATTGCTGCCACTATGAAAGTCATGCTAGAAGGATTACCTACTAACGGGTCTGCAGGCGTGAATGTTACCTGCTTGAATCCCCTGGGTTTTTCAGCCGTTGCAGCCCAGTCCCTACCTCACTTTCTAGGTGTTAGGGCCTGAACCCCGAAAGTAAGTAGAATACTGGCCTTTTCAGACACGTTTAGTGGCTTTTGGCTATCATTTTGCCTACTTTTGGGGTCCAGGTAGGGCACTGAGGAATGGAAATAAAAAGATAATGGAAACTACCATATCCTTCAGGCCTCCTACAGGCACCCCTACATTCTCAAAAACTACATGAGCTATAGTACAAACTCCTTGAAGGGGGATATTTAGGGGATTATAAAGGGAGCCTACCTCACAGGGGCTATTAAGGTGGATATAGGGAGTTAGAATATAGCTCATATTTTTCAGGGATCATATAGGGGCTGCTATACCTATCCGGCCATCCTTTCCCACCTAGCTTAGTGTTTAGGGTTTAGGGTTAGGGTTTGTTAGGGGGGCTATGTAGGATAATGGGGTGGATCCCTTGTAAGCAGTGCGAAGGGAGATTTCATCTAAGTAAAGCTCGGTTTGCTGCGACCCTAAACCCTAAACCCTAGTCTCCCAGTTGCAGGGTACAAATCTGAAAGTTCAGCGCAGAGTTTTTTACTTTAGGCCCTTTGGCCCACAAAGTGTTAGAAGTGCAATCTAATTGTTGTTAGGCCTAGGGTCCGTCACACTAAATTTGAAATCCTCCAAGGCAAATTTAGACCTGAAGCCGTATGTAGAGGCCTTGGACCACAGCACCTCCATGGAATGTCGATTCACACAGGTTTATCGGCTTGACCAGCTTCCTTTCCCCAACAAGTACTGAACCCCGCCCACCACTCCCTAACAGTGCATGCGTTTCCAGTAGGAGGGCCGTGCATATGGCAGAACATACTTCAGTCGTCAGTGTTTAATGTCGAGGGAAGCCGATTACTCCGGAAAGGCCAACAGGGCCAACAGGCGATTTCAAAGCTATCCCAAGACTTTCAGCTGCAGAGATCAGTGTTGACGTCCGCTCACCAGTCTCCCCTTTAGCACCAGTCAACAACAGTCAAACATGGCACCGACTCAGAGGGGTAGGCGGTGGTTACCTGTGTACTGTGTAGTGACACATCATGATCAGCTTTACGCTCTAATTTCCACAATAGTTACATAGTTGTTCGCCAGTTGCTTGGCAGAGGAGGATACCATCAGGGAGTCAGTCGATTACCTCTTCAAGATCACTCACTGCCTTGAACGTGGAAGCATTTTCCCGCCATCTCGTTACCGCAGACAACGCGCAAGTTTGGAGCCGTGATCCGCAAACCGCACAGGCGTTTGCCCACGCTATTCCTAAAGGATCTGACAAACGTCTGCAGAACCCAATTTCCGTCAATAACCCTGCAGGATCCAAGCACTTCAAGATCGAGTAGATACCCAAGAGAGCGTCCTATCAACGTACATTAGGGCCTTTAAGTTGCCAACATAAATTGCACAGGTATTCGGACCCTTCATGTCTTGGATAGAAAGCATTCAGGTCTGCAGGGGCTTACAGAGTGCAGGATGGTCGTGTGACAGCCAGGCTTTGAGTTATCGACTCTCCGTGATTACGAGTATGGATACACTTGTTGGGTAGCTATTGGTCCTTAGGCTACCTAGCTTCCTCCATCACCAGTAATCCAGTCCGTCTCCGCACAACAAAAGCCCCCCACGTTCCTAACAATGCATCCCCCTCTAATATTGATTTGGTTTGGGAACATTGATTAGTACAAAGGGTGGGTAGGTTGACTGAGGAGATTTTGATTGTCCCCCCCCCACTCCTCCCCAGCGCATGCGAAAGACTTGGCCTGCACCTGTCCAACAACTACTATTAAAACCCCCATGCCCCAAATACCCTACTATACTTGATATAGAGGGAAAAAGTTGATATTGTTGAGTGGGGTTCTAATAATAGGCGGAAGGGATTAGCAGCGAAGTAGTCAGGGACCGTCATCAGGCATTATATAGGGACTGCTATAGGATCCATGTCTCCGTGCACCGCCAACGAAACAAGGAAGCCCTAAACGGTGTGGTACTTCAGGGCTGCGTACCGCGATTTCACGGAAGCGCTTGAAGCCATCCATGCCGTTGCCCGCTACTCAGAAAGAGTATAGTGCTTTGGGGCACTTTGGGGAGGGTCAAGGTTTTGGGTTTTGGCTTGACGTTCATGAGAGTTTACAATGTTGTTTGCAGAATTCAGGCTCTAGGCCGATGTGGGTTTAAAAGACATACAATAGGGCTTAGGGTCTGCAGCTTAGGGTTGCGCCTAGCTTCTGAAATCCAAAAATGACTCAGCGATGATGGGGATGATGATTTGGAAGAGGAGGACTGCCATTTTCAGGTTGGGTTTAGGATTCAGGGTTTAGGGGATGAGCCATATTTTAGGCTTTGGGTTTAGGAGTGGGTATTACCCCCTATACTGGAGAATCATATCGAAAAGATGAATATCCCATCGAGATCTGCATTCTCTCCTGGAGATGAGGATGTTCAGGGTTAAGCGTTTAGGGGGGTCCAAGTCAAATTTCAGATGCCCAAATCCTGTACCATGATTACCAGTCCCCAAATCCCAAGTACCTAGTTGTTCAGTATTTGGACTCTCTAAAGTTTCGACAAAATCCTGCATGACCGAAAGAGCTGTACATTTCTAAGAGGGTCGCAAAGGGTTCCTTGAGTTTACCCTATGTCTTGCTCGGCATTTCTTAGGCTTTTGGGAGAAGGTGCCTCCGCTGATTTTTTCCAGAGGCTGGTTTTAAGTAAGATCGAACAGGTGTCGGGCGGCCAAAATCATACAATTCCCGAAGGTCTGAGGGCTAGGATTCGGGTTCAGGGTTGGGGTTCAGGAGCCAGGGTTTGGAGGCGACGGTCTAGGGTTTGGAACTGGGTTACTAGTCTTGGTAGGGGATGAGGGTACATAGTCCCTAAGAAAATGTATTCTCCGAACCGCCAGTAAAAAGGGGTTAGGTCTGGCACCGCACTCGTAGCGAATATTCTCCGAACTCTAATATATCTATATTTTCACACATGTGTGTGTACACTCGCTTAGCCACACGCATCTCGTAGTGTGTGTGGGGGTGGGATAAGAAGAACCATGCCCCCAGGTACCTACCTGTTTTGTCTCCCCTTCAAAACTTGCGCAGGGAGGCACTGCTCACCTGAAAGCCCAACCGTTTACGTTTCAAGAACTCCTGTCTTTCAGAAACCCTCTTGTTCTCAAGAGGCTCTAGGAGAGGGTCTCTTCTTAACAGTGCCCTTATCGCACTTGACAAATTATGTACTGGCAAGACACGTCCCATTATTCTGCAACAGATGCAAGCATATAGAAAGTTTTTGAGTTCTCTCAGTTTTCATCACATCTCAGGTATGTATTTAGCTCATATCAAAAAGTGCCAGAAACTTTCGTGTTGGTTGTCAGGAGAACTTGGAGATTTGATATGCCCATGATATTTGATAGCAAATCGCGGAGTTGTATGGGCAAGAACCCATAAAATGGCTATGTCAAGTCAAACAAAATATCTCCTTTGTCCATGGGAGCAATGTAGACCACGTTGTATGCTACTCCCCAAAAGACAATTACATGTTGTTTTTTGTTGGTTTGCTGGTCAGGAATACTCCGCGGTTTTTTTGGTCCTGATACCAGACGTTTTTATTGCTTGCCGGAATACTTAGCCATCTCCTGTGTTTCTTATATCAAATGTGCAATTTCCTGCCGAAGAGAAGAACATTGGTTGAAGTATGACGTTTGTTTCAAGCGGGGGTCAGTGTAAACTTTTTTGCCCTGACAAGCAGAATTTCCTTATTGCTGATTAAAAAGTTACCTGTTTTATGTCTTGTTATGAATACATGGAGCGGCTCATATCTTGTTACAACGCTTGGGGCTTTGAGTTTGTCTACTGCGCACGCAAATACCACACAAAAGTTTGTGCTTTGTTGCTATGCTGGTCAGGAATGTTTCGTACTAATGTTTTCAGATACTTGCATCTCATGTCTTTTGGATCCTAAACGTCCAATGCCTGTCAAGAAAACATTGTTTTCGCGATGCTAGGACTCTTCTTTCCAAGGGGGCAGTGTAAACACTTTTGCCATGCCAAGCAAGATTTCCTCGTTGCTTATCAAGACTTGAATTGTTTACTGTCTTCTTATGAATGTCTTACTACAACACTCGGGGCCTGCACATGCGCCAGTACAAGCACATGTTGTTCGAAATGCAAAAGGATATGTTCTATTCTTCTTCTGCAATAGAAGGCATCCCAGGCTGTGCATCAATTACAAGTGTGGAACTTGGTCTCTTTCTTTCCAGATCAGCCTATAAGTAGCATCGCTTTTGTGGCCAGGAGCAAGCCATTGACAGACCAGGCCAGTAGTTCCAGAATTCATGTTTTTGTCAGGATTGCTGACGTTTTGGGATGATATCCCCCACTCATATCATCGTCTTCAGAATAGAGAACACATCCGGAGACCCAAATCCTAGACGACTGGAAGACTCTTCTAAATGGGGAAGACTTCTCTAAAAAGGGCCCCCCAATTGTAATTAGGGTTGTGATGACAAGAAACCAAACGGGATTAGGGAGTTGTTTGCGTTCCTGGTTGGTGTGTTCCTAGAACCTTGTTTGTTTATATGAAGACTTTAAATAACGTGAACAAATGGAAGCCTTCCTTGGAATTGCGATCAGTACTTCTGTTACCTTCTACGGTTTAATATAAACATGTGTATTAAGCCTCTGCAGAGGAATTTTTGAAAGTGAATCACAGGAAAATCGAATGTTGTAAGATATTCACTTTTTCCTAGACTGTTCATTGTTTCTCAAAAAGTTTCTTCGACGGATCGCATATAGGAAAAATTATTCCAGGAACTTAGGAATTAGTCAATAATGAAAACTAAGGTACATCTCTCAAATGGAAATCATCAGTTTGCTTTTTCGGGAAGGGTTTTATGACTTAAAACGGCGCCTATCGATCTGGATCCCTCAGAAAAACCAAGCAAAGCATTATTTTCAGACGATCCAGGAAGTTGAACATTCATGGCTTTTTGTTGTTACAATGGCTTCATGGTCAGGAGTTGCAAAACCATTGAAGACCCAACAAAACCCATGAACAACCATGCCTTGACCAGGACAAAAATCCTTACCAGGACCCTCCTTGCACCCTTAAATAGGAACATGATTTGCACTCCTTGTACCCTTAAACAGGGCTATATGGTCCCTAATAGTGGGTACTTAGGGTATAATAGAGGGTAGAAGGAGGGTCTAGGAACATGATTTGCAAATTACACAGAAAAGCATTAATTCTTTTTTCTTGGTTCTTACAATGGCGTTCATGGTCAAGGGTTCCAAGCAATAAACATCAAGAGAGCCATTAATAACATGCCCTGACCAAGAAGACGTTTAGAAAACAAACATGAAATACAAAAAATCATACCATCCAGGAAAATTGAAAATTCATGTTTTATCATGTTTTTACAATAGTTGTGCATGGTCAGGAGCTCCAAAACACTGGAACAAACAAGTTTCTTCATACATCTCTCACGCAAATCGCTTTCAAGCAACCTGCAGTGCTGACGTCTCGAGTTTGCATTGAGCTTCTGGCTAGCTGGGAAGCAGCTGCAGAGCGATTTTGGAGTGTATAGGTGAAGCTCCATCGTGGACGCAGCCCGGGCCATGCCATAAACAACAAGAAAAACCATGACTTCCTGGTTTAGAGGGAGAGTTTGAAGATTTTGGTGGGGGGGGTTCTTTTGCTTTTCAAGAATTTTAAAGGCTTCCATGGTCAGTGCATGTTGTTGTCATGGAATTCCTTGATCTTTCAATCGTTTTCATGGTCAGGAGCTCTGAAGCATTGAAAAACAAAGACAAGCCATGAGTTCCTGTCTTTGTTTGAGATATAGTTTGGACTTGCTTTTTGGCATAAGATGAGGCACCAAATAAACGCAATCAAATTTTCATCTCTTTAACCAATTAACAGTGGTGGCATTCTGGAAATTACAAGAAGGGCACGCAACCGTAGGTACATACGGAATATGTCCTGACATTTCTTGTTTGGTCGGTCGCCACGACATTCAAAAGTTTGTTGATACCCTCCCCAAAACAACCTTGCCTGGAACCAACGGGCCCTACACAGACTACCTCGGTAATGCTGACTACAGTCCGATAAGAACGGAGCTATATGGGCTTCCCTTCTGATTGAAAGCAGACCATCTTCTCATCCACCCGAGCCCGCGGCAGCCACTGGCAAAGAATCAACGCTCGGACAGGCAACGCCAAGGCACTCCTGGTTTCAATCTGTGCGGTGAGTCATCCCTGGGGACCCGAGCACTGCTCTTTTTGCAAAAGGCTCATACTGTCAACCTTGTCAACGGAGCCAGAAGCGGGGCCAGCATCCAACAACCAAGTTCTGCTTTACAAGCGAGCAAGAACCTTCAACGTACTGCACCGGGAGACTCATGTGCCGTCACGAGGCGAGGCAGAATAGGACAGTGTGGGCTTGGGGTGTCATGTTATTTGCTCGTCCTATTGTTACGGCTGGTTTGCTACGCTTTCCTGGAACGGATGTTGCATGTTTCTGCTCATGTTGCGGCATGTGCACCTTGCAAGAGATTTAAAATGCGGCGGGAGACTTATAGGCTAGTGTAATGTTCGGATGAATACTGATCAGAGTGGATTCATTCTCCTCATGCGCAGGGAAATACGTGCTTTCAGGGGCGGATGTCCCTCAAGGCACTTGAAGCAAGAGACGTAGGCACATGGCAGCAGTCGGGCAGAAACATTCCAATCGCCATCGAAAAGTCCAGGAAAAGGCCTTTGCTCTGAGAGGCTCCCTTCCTGTCTAATGGGGTTTCCTAAAATTAGGGGTACCCTTTTTGGGGGTCCCTATAATATGGACTATAATATTTTGGGGTCTATATTGGGGTCCCCTTATTTTGGGAAAGTACCATATATTCTATAACCATCTATAACCGCATGACAAAACCATGTAGCTTAAGGCTTGCAACCTCCATGGGAGCGTCGGCATGGACGGGCTCAGCTTTAAAAGGGTGCTAGTTTATCTAATGTATTTGTTGCAAACATGTCTTTGCGCCCTATTCGGTGATGACCTTGCTATGTGCTGCCAAAGAGTGAGCCCATGAACCTTATACCCCTTGCCGGAGTCTTTTTTGGCTCGCTTTGGAAAGGTCTCGCCCAGAGGAACTTGTATTGCTCGGTTGCGAAGTTTGGAATGATACAAGTCATGCACAGTACCGTGGATAAGACATTTGGCACCGTCCACGGTCCAGCTTCTCGTTTAAAAAATAATGTCTTATCAGATGCGATGCGCGAGCTGTACCTGGGCAGAAGCAGACGCCTCTTTGGGAGCGTCTTGTGTCTTTTGCGGTGGCGCAGACTCCCGAGGGTGAAGGCAACAATCAGTGGGCAGACGAATAACTGGGAGCTAGGAACTAGGGCCCCTGTAGAAATGAAAAGAAAGATGTTGAGAACTCAAGAAATGACTCGCAATGAGCCAAGTCCGGCCCCCTGTAGTTTGTAGACTGTAGGTCCCCATTGAAGCACGCCACCTGGCCCTTTGAAATGCGAAGGGGTCCAGTGCGGATGTGCGCTGTAGTTAGAAACCCAAGTTCCATTTCTGTAGGCGTAAGTTTTTGTCCCCTGCAGGTTTCATGAATGTGGAGCCAAGAATGCAAGCATTGTTGAGGTTTTCCTTCGGCTCACGGAGGGAGGATGGAAGGAGTCTTGGGGTCTCCCAGCAAACAGCATTGCGAGCACGCACTTCTTTTTGGCAAGCTGTTGCCAATACCGTCACGGCGGAAGCTCAAAAAGGCAAGATGGGGGTCTGAGGGCTAAAGCGTTGGGCGAAAGACACTACTTGCGTTCTTGACGCTTATGTTAGCATGTGCTGGAGTTCGAAAGCAATTTTCTTCACCTGATCCATGCCCTTAAATCCTACAAGCCCTAGCCTCCAAATGGAGTTTAACCAAATAGCCCAACTTATGAAGACCGCCACAGCCCCAAATGTGGGCCCACCCCCTGTGGTACCCCCTGAACCTTTCTCGCAGGTCCTGGGACCTAAAGCAAAGTCTCTGGCGGCAACGCAGCTTGGCAATGAATTTGTACAGGCTGCATAGGGGAGTGTAGGGATATGTAAGGGTCAGGATGGTTGGATGACTAGCGTCTTGTGGGTTGGGTTGAGGTTTAGATTTGCGGGTTGAGTGCTTAGCAAGGGTTGGCTGTCTGGCTTTCAGGGTTGTAGCCGTTGAGGATTGTAAGCAGAAAGCACAAAGGGCCACGTCAGGATCGAGAGAGGGCCTCTCGAGGGACTGAACGGGGTCTGTGGCAGACCTTAGCATCGCAGAGGCTTTTTGTGGCGCCGGGCTGCAGTTTATGGTTGGAGTGGTCCTGTGGAAGAATTCTCTTTGTGTTTGAGGTACACCTTTTGTGGAAGAGGATTTTCGCAACCCTAACCCCGCAAACTAGGACCCCATGACCATGCAGTGACTCTTGGTACTCATTTCTGACTCAATACCCCAGGCGACTTGCCAAGATGAAGTGGCATGTGTTTGGGTACGCGGAATACTTCTTAGATCGGTTTATGGATTTGGCGGTTCCCAAAACCCTATTTTTATTTGTTGGGGTAATTTCCATTCCTGCTCTTGCCTTCCGATTCCAAACTGATCTAGATCAGCTGTAACTCTGGCAGATTTGAGGGTCTAGGGTACAGGGCTTGTAAGGGTAGGCTTTACTGGGTTGAGCAGGAAGCAGCAGTCCGAACATTCGCTTTGCTCAGACTCTTTTTAAGACAGGCGCCTTGTTCTTGTATGTTCTTGTGACTTTCAGACTTGGCGGCAAGTCAGTTGAAGCAGAGACACTTTTTAGCGCTTCTGCTGGCGGCAGGGCTGTTTTCAGGAATTCTCGACCTATAATGTGCAGGTCTCTGGGAAATGGGGCCAAAAACAAAGGATCCAAAAGGCTTAGGGTTCCTTTGGAGGATTACAGGTGCCATTCGTGAGGCTTCCATACATGTGCTTCCTCCTGTGCAGTGATGGTTGGTTTGGGCGGCCTTCATGTCCGTTCAGGCAGGCTAGGTATTGAAGTGAACACGGTAAATCAACTACTAGAGTGCCAGGAACCAAGTCATCATCATATCGTGATGTGGCGGTCACCTTCAACAGCTCTCTTGGTATCAGAGCGCAACGATGAGATGCAAACAATGACTATCGGAGCTGGAAGCCAGACGGAGAACAAAGGCAGACATGACGCACTTCCCTGAAGAATCGTGGAACTTCAAAAGGATGCCCTGATGTAAGCTACGATCACATGCTTTCCTTGTACAATTTGTTCCGGAGAAGAGAGAAAACTTCAAATCCAAGGCCTACTCAAAATTTACGGTCCTAAGGCATGAGAGAACTTCTAGATATACGTACCAGATGGTAGTTTCCCAAAATAGGGGGACCCTAAGATAGCCCCCAATATACTATAGTCCTTATGGGGACCCCCCAAAAAAGTACCCCTAATTTTGGGAAACTTTAAACCCTAAACCCTATATCAGTCACTCCTATATAACCCCTAAATGACCCCTATGTCCCCCTTTAAAGGTACCCCTAATTCTGGGAAACCTCCATATAGTAACAGCCTTGTGTGTGCGCATTGTACAGACATACCGCAAGGTGGTACGGCGGAGATCCAAATCCTGCATGACTGCACCAAGTACCTTATCCTTCGGGTTTAGGGTTTTAGGGGTTTAGGGTTTAGGGTTTAGTATCCTTTAAGAAGAATGGTACCGTTTAGGAGGACCCCCCACCCTGTAATAATAAGAATATAAGAGGACCCTAATATAATCCTTATTAGCCATAATAGTCACTATTACTGGGTGGGGGGTCCACCTAACTTATCCTTTAAGGAGAATGGTACCATAATAAAACTCAGGTCGTGCACGATTTTTAGTAGAAACAGTATGTAACCGCTGTTTAGGGGAGGGTAACAGCTGTCAAGGAAAGCCTGGGCGCCACTCCTCCTGCGTTGGAGGCTGGAATTGTTCGTGAAGGTTTTTGGAATTTAAGGTTTAGAGCCTTGAGGGTTTAGGATGGGTTCAGGGCCATAATTTTACCGAGTTTAGGGTTTGCGGCCGTATTTGAGGTCTTAACTGCACGGTTTCGAGGTTTAGGGACCTGGGCTGGACGCGTGCTGAAGCTACTGCCCCTAGTTGAGGGATTACAGAGGTCCAGTGATATGGCAGTTCTGTCACGTGCCCCATAGTGCAGGAGTTACAGGCAGACATGGCCCCTATAGGGTAAGGGATATGTCTTAAGCAATGTGGAATATATGCCTAAGACATATCCTAACCCAGCCAGCCCCCAAACCTAGCACCTCTACACCATTGCAGCTGTAGTAAACTTGTTTCCTTTGTGAGGGTCCTGTTTATGACTGTGAGAGGGCAGCCTCCTTGTAGGTTTCCCACACCGCTAAACCGTCAATGACCTTGGTCCTGAAGAGAGGACCCGCGGAAGATGATAAAGGAAGTGCCGGTTCAGACAGCGGGAAGCCTCGAACCCACATTTGCGTGAGTCCTACTGTGCCCTAGACCCCTAATTATGCCCTACCCCTTTTAGGATACTTAACTTTATGTCCATTATCTATGCAGAAAAGTAGCTACCTTAAGGAAATTGTAGGGTATAGAGGTCTAGGCAACTTGGTAGCAGTCGGGATCCCGTATGCTACTTTGGTATTTATTCCGAAGCAGAAAGGATCTTTCTTTCCTCTTAATTAGAGTACTTGACTAGTGACTGTAGGGCCTTGTGGAGCTCGGCAGGAATGCAAGAAAGCCTAAGTACATTCCTAGGGGACGATAAGTTTGGTATCAGGTTCAGGGTGTAGGGGTTTGGGGTTCAGGGGTTTAGGATTTAGGGTTTCTGTTGACGTATCTAGGCACTACATCTAGGGCGACCTGCCCCGTGAGGATCTGATCTGTTGACTTAGCCGCATTATAGTGTAGCTTTTCCAGTTTGTTTTCCGATTTACCTATACAACCTCGAAATAAGCCTTATATGACCCCTATATAGGAGTCTTTGCGGTTGGTCAATCTGGGACCAAGTTCCGGACTACTCCGACGTTTTGGTAGAGAGATTCGGGCTTATGATGTGGTTTGGATCGCTGGAAGGTTTTTTTGTGAAAAGCACCACCCAGTAGAATGGTTCAGGGTTCGGGATCTCGGAGTTTAGATCTTTTCGGTGGACTGCTAGTTGAATGGCGGACCATGCTTTTCTTAGCATGGCCTTAAGAGCCTCGTTGCTGTCGTCTTGGGTCACGATCCCTTGGTTGCAATTTGCACTCATCGGTAAGCAAGCAGCTTAGCATGTGGGGGCTGCTTGCCAGGCTGCATGACCACACGCGTTCCCAAGCCCCATTTTCAAGCATCACATTTGAAGTCTGCCATTTCTTGGATTCCCTTACTGTGTGCTTTAATCCTTAAACCCGCAGCCCGGGCTTCTAATTGCAACTTTGATTTCCCTGAAGGTACTACGTGTGCAGCCTCTTCTCATGGGGCCTGATGACGGAGGAGACGGCTGTAGAGGTCGAACTGGGAAGTTGGAAATTCAGACTTCCGTCTGCCAATGACTATGTTGTCATAATTAAAGGGATGAATACACATTCTGACGACCTTCCATATAGCATCTCCAAAACCTAGAGTACACACTATCAAAAGTGTGCAACTATCGGATACCCGAGCCCTTTGCGCGGGCCTTTTTTCTCCCAAATGTCAAGGGACCCTGCTGTTCTAAGGGGCCCCATAAGAAGTTTTCTCTAGTGTTCTCATCTATATATAGGCTTGTGCTGCTTAATAGTCGGGGGGGGGGGTGTACCAGGTACTAGTGTCCACTATGAGACATGCCGCCGGCATGCATTCAGATCCCACACGCGTGTAACTTAGCATGCAGAAGTCATGCATAAGAGGCTCAAAAAGGATGTGAGTCAATGCCACCTTGAGCTGTGAAACCTGACCTGAAAGCTGTTAGCCGGCTTCAGCCATCATACCTCTACAGCACAATAGGAGCACCAGCATTGCTGGTACCACTTGAGAGTTGGCATGGTCCATCTTCTGGGTTGCTGTTAAG